TAGTAGAGTGATAGTCTCGACGTAGTGTAGACTATCCAAGATAAGCCAGACCCGAATCGAAATCGCTCGCCAAATCTGCACGCCTTTTTCGACAGAAACCGTCCGAACGTTACACGAAGCTGACCTTCGATTAGCGACAGACTCGCCGATTTAGGGCATCTCAATACACACGTACGCATCATTATATGTTCTATAATCCCTTCAAAAATGATAATGTTACCAAACGAATGTTTTCTTGAAATATTTAATAATTTTCGAGATAATTTTCGACTTAGTTATAAAAACTTATTTTCATGCCTTCTTGTAAACCGTAAATGGTATAGAATGATTATACCAATATTATGGAGTGAGCCTGTAAATCATTTCAGGGATAAAAGGCTTATAAGTATATATCTTTCAGCATTAAATACTGAAGAGAAAGCTTTATTGATCCCCTTTAAAATTAATCTTCCAAATTATCCAAGGACTACGAAAGCTACATAACATCTGTTGGTTATTACTTTGATAATAGAATAGAACAATGGCTTAAAAATGAAGGATATAATGTCCAATATCACGATGAATTTACAAATGCTATCAAATGCTTTTTAATTACAATTTTTCTGCAAACAAGTAAATATCTTAAAAATTTAACACTTAATAATGTTGAAATAACGTTAATAGATATAATTTGCAAAAGTACCACGTTGTCTTCTTTGAGTCTCCAAAGTAATAATCTTGGATCAGAAAAAGGAAAAATATTAGCAGATGTACTTTGCAAAACCACTATGCTAATTTCTTTGGATCTTCAAGATAATAATCTTGGATCAGAAGGAGGAAAAGCATTAGAATATGCACTTTGCAAAAATAATACTCTGAAAAAATTAAATCTTTGGAATAATAAACTTGGATCAGAAGGATGGAAAACATTAGTACATGCTCTTTGCAAGGACACTACGCTGACTTCTCTATCTCTTAGTTCGAATAATCTTGGACAGGAAGAAGGAAAAGCATTAGTATGTGCACTTTGCAAGAACACTACGTTGACTTCTCTACCTCTTGATTTAAATAATCTTGGACCGGAAGAAGGAAAGCATTAGCAGATGCACTTTGTAAGAATAATACTCTTAAACAATTAGTTATTTCGGGCAATAATATTAAGTTTACTATAGGATCTAATTATTCACGTGTCAGAATATATTAATGAAAACATAACGATCTCAAACTTGTAAATCATAAATTTTCTAAATTCGCACAGATCAGCTAATACTATTAAATTATTTATAACAAAAAAAAATCTTTAAAAAATAAATTTCCACATCACAAACATGAAAGCGCTGTATTGGATAATGTGTATTCTCTTTCTCTGATCTGAACTGTGTACAGAAAAGTGCAAAGCAGAAGTTACGTTAAAATGAGATTTTGTTAAAATCAGCCTAACTGATTTGCTTAAATATCAACCCAAACATTAATACGTGATCTATAATTGATTATTGTTTCAATAACTTGCAAATAGAACGATTTATTTAGTATATTTAATATGATATCTATCTATTATTATCCTAGTTATTGTCTGGAGCGAAGCAGAGAACACATATTTCTATATGCTTTGATGACTGAAATTATGATACTTATGTATTTGTAATAAAAATATTAAACAAGTAGTTTCAGCATTTTTGTTTGTACTGCTATTTACGTGTTTGTGTAATATGACAATTATAAGCTTTGGACTTAAACTGGTATGTATCCATGTTATATACTTTGTTTATAATAGGCTGGTATTTGATAAAATCAGCCAGACTGGTAGTTAGAACAGTTCAATATTTTATTAAAATAATTTGTAATAAATTTAAAGGACAGTCCGCTGTTAAAGGGTATGAAAATTTGGTGGTGTTATACTATAGCTTTCATATTGTCTGAAATACCAAACACTTTTGACAATTAGAAAAATCATGTAAGAAATAATAAAAATCTTAATATCTTGTTATCTATACAATCGATTTTAATGATTTTATATCGAAATAACATGTCTACAACTTTATTTAAAGATTCAAATAATGTTTACTTGGTAAAAAAAAAAAACTTTCCTTGTAGTGAATCGGGATTCCACTCTATGAAAATAAGTTCTGACTATTATACTTAATAATGTTTTATGCCCTTCAATTGCGAACTACTCCTTAATCTATTAATATATAATAATAGACTTCTATCGCATTAACAGAGTACTAAGGTATTTCAACTTTACTACGCTTACCGGCTAAATCTCATGAATAAAATAATCGTGCTTATAGTAAAATGATGATGTTCAGATCATTATTAAGAAAAAATACCTTGATCTGTTTGTATATATGTTGTAAGTGGTAACGGAATTTAAGTAGATTCAGAATTGTTATATAAAACCAGCATTTTAGGGTTGATTTTATCATAAGTACACCCTAACCCTAATTTAACTAGGAAATTCCAAATCCATTCCCACTTACGACATATACAAGTGGATATCTGTTTTTTTTTTCCATTAACAATCAACAGTTCGGGATATATTTATTGCAAATATGCATATTTTCAGCTAAGGATTGTGCAAGTTACTTAAGCACATATATTTACCCTATTTTTATAAATAAAACACAAATCCGATAAAAATTTTTAAAGGGGAGTGCGCAGATAGGTCCGAGCGTTCAGCTCAGATAGTACAAAGATAAAACATAATGTTCCAGTTTAAGTATCGAAAGCAAAAATAAAACTATCAAGAAAGAAGGTACGTTGTGAGCGTCCTAGTGGGTACTAATTTAACTAAACTACACTATCTAATACTATGCACTAGCGAATTTCCACTAGACAAGACTAGAGATGGGAAAATCGAATCTATTGCGCAGGCTGCGCAGCCTCCACGGCCTACACAGCCTCAGTCCCTAGAGACTTGTACCATTAGGTTTCGCGTTTATATATATAAAACATCTACTTTATATGTGTAAAGTTGGGCACCCATCATTTTTAATTAGTGCTCCAAGGTTAATTTAAACGTCAGTTTTTGTTGTTTTGCGTTTTTTTCACTTTTTCTCTGCATATCGGTGAATTAATAATTCTGGTCAAATTTGCAGATCACTTGGCCAGATCTAGAACAAAACAACTTTAAATGTGGTCAAATGATCTGCAAGTTTGCCAGAATTATGAACGATGGATTCTATTAATCAGGTGATGCAGATCCGTTTTTCTTTCGGGCCGATCTGAACCGATTTCCGATTGGTAATTCGAACATGGATTATAAAGCTGGCCAGAATTATGAAAATTGCACTGCGCAGCCTCAAAAAATGCCTGTGCAGTGTCCCATCTCTAGGTATATGTAGTTAACATTATAAACCCACTCTCGGTAAGCGTGCCAATTGTCAGTGACAAGCCCTTAAAATCAGATGGGCAGCCCAGGCCCTGGCCTTAGGCCCGTTACTGGCAACTTATTTGCTAAGAGTGAGCTTATTATACTAATTACACACACCAATTTTTGACGGCGGTGCTCATTTCGCCGACAATCACTTCAAGTTTATTCCACCGACAGTTATAAAAATAACAGTAATAATAAAGAAAAAAAATCAATACCATAACAAAATTTTAATACTGCAATTAAATTTTACTCAAATTGATATACGTATTTATATTCGTATTTAGATTCTTTTGAACAAGGTATGAATATGTATCACATTTATAGTGCTGCCCTTTCAAGAGTTAGGATTAGAATGAGCATTGATATAGTTCTTTTTTCGCGTTAAGGTTAGGTAGGCTATTAGATAAAATCTTTTTTTGTGAATCGTGTATCCAATCCTTATGTTATTTTTATATATTATTTCTATATAGACTTTATGTTGGTTATAAATACATATACCCATTTGCTATTAATTGCTGTCAACGGCAAAATTGGGATTTTTGTTCGAAAATCTGCGAGTCTGTTGCTAAACTAATCCAACTCTCGCGTAACCTACGGCGGCTAAGTCGAAATAGGCGTGTTAGATTTGGCTGGGTGGTTTATCCGTAGGTAAGGCGAGACCAACTTGATTCTGTGTTTTACATTACCCCCCTCTCCCCTCCAGAAGAAGGGGGGAGGAGGGGGAGAATTTGTGGTTTACATAGTAAAATTTTTAAAAAATTTTTTTTCAAAAAAAAATGTTTCCGAATTGTTCCATGACTATATAAAAATTTTCCAAATAGCCCGTAGCCCTATGTATATTTGTCTAAATTTTTTTACTATGATGGAGAGGAGGGAACGCTAAGAGGGGGGGGGTAATGTAAAACACAGTATTCAGTTGGTCTCGCCTAAGTACTAATCTTCTCTTTAGGTCTTTCCTTCGGCCTATTCTTCCACCAATTCTTTGTCTTCTCTTGTCTTCTCTTTGTTTTCTCTTTGTCTTCCTACACTACGTCGAATCGGGGTTGGAACTCTCTATCACGTTAACAGCTTGATCACATGACTTGCAGCGAACGTTGGTGAGTTTATGGACTAACGATAGGGATAACAATGGGGTTAACGATAGTTTATTAGTTTGTATAGGGTAATACTTTCATTTTTATTAGAGGTTGGGTAATTCATTGCATGCAATTGTATTTTTATTTGGTTCTAAGGGATCTCTTGTTCCCAAAACAAAAATGTTCTTTATTTATAATAAACATTTGATTTATATTGGTAATTAATTTCTAATATAAATGTAATATCCTTTGTACTTTAATTATATTTGATAAAAGGTTGATATTTCATTTATCTCAGAAGTAACATTTCTGTCACTTTTCATATAATTTTGAATCTGGTAGGCATATGGGTTGATTAGACTCATTTGGTGTGATATAAAAATTTGATATCTGCATGATTACACTAATTCAATGATCATATATAATGTCTTTGTTCAAACCTTTTTTCTGTCTTTTGTGCTCTAAAACCTATTTGACAATAAATTCTTTACTATCTTATAAAGCAAAAAAGCACTTACACAATTATATTGTGCTCTACAGTTCTTGTTTTGAACTTTCTTTAAGTTGGTGCTTGTGTTAATTCTGCTCAATCTTTTTTGCAAATGTAAAATCTTATCTTTATACTTACCACTCAACTCAAGGCTTCAAACAATTTACTGTACACTATTCTAAAAACTTTTTATATTATGTGTTTCACCAAGAGTCAGAATTTGAATACTAGGTGGTTCATCGAAAGTATAAATGCACATATAAAGGATAAGATGGCATCAAAGAATTGAATATATTTTTGTACATCCTGCTTGGAGTGAAAAAAAACAAAGACAGAAAATAAGTTTAGAATAACAACTGAAAAAAAAAGATTTTGAAATGTAACAAATGATTGAAACTAAGTTTATTTTTCTTTGGAAAGAGCAAACAACTAAGGAAGAATATAGTAGAGAAATTTATACTTAGATATATAGGTTTTTAAAGTTTATATTCAAAATACATAAGTATAATATAGTTGTAATTTAGACTTTATTATTATTTTTGTTTAAGATTTATAATCTTTTTAGTTTAAGATAGAAGTGTTTTATTTATATAATAATAAAGTTGTCTATTTTTATAAGAACACATTTTATAAGTTACAGATTTTGAAGAATTGTTACCATCTATTATAGTACCATCATAAAATAATTGAATATAGTCATAGTTCTTTTTTTTTATACCTGAACATGAAAACTATCATAGACATAAATTCTTTATTTTAAAAAATTTTATGAATATTGGAATATGACATGCAAGTATATGCATATAGAAAGTAACATCATTATATTGATAGAATCTTTCTTGTAGAATTTTTTTTCTTTTGTTTTTAATTATTGGTTGATAAAATTTTTTAATCTATTGATATGCTGAAAATCAAAATTAACAATATCTTCATTTATTAAATCAATTTTACATATTATTTTATATAAAAAAAAATATTATGCTAAAGTTTTTGTATTTCATTTTCATATTGCTCTAAAATAAATGTAGTTATGAGAATTTTTTCTAAAATTATTAATTTGTCTGGACCTATTAATAATGTTCAATACCATTTTCCTTTTGGTATTTTAGGTTCACTAAACTTAAAAATATTAATATCCAGAGAATAAATAATTGATTTTATTTGTTATCAAATTGTCATTTCATTATTTTTTTGTCATTTATTAAATGTTAATTTAATTGATAATTCAAAAAAAAGACATTCAAATAAAACATCAGTAATGTGAAGCATTATATATAATTTGTCTAGTACAGAATATTGTTGTTCTAAAAAAGGTAAAAGATTTGAATTTTTTTATCTTTAAGCATTATTTAAATTTTTATAATCTTTGTTTATATTCTAACAGTCTGTATTTTTGCAATTATAATATAAACAAAAATAATTTGCTGTTGGTCTTTTGGTGCCAAAAATTAAAGACATAAAATTTCAATCAGAGCCAAACCAAAATTTGATTTTTCAATGATTATTTTCTGAGTCAATAATTCTTTCTATATTTAAAGTTATTAATTCACTGATTAAAAAACTAAAAGCTATTTGAGAAGATTCATATTGCTCTATACTATTATAAAGAAAAATACAATGTTGATTAAATAAGTTTAAAACCATATCATAGTTATTTAATATACATGCAGTTAGCATTACATGATTATGGTGTTTGCCAACTTGTCACCTATCTCTACTTAATTTAATATAAATAATTTCTTCTAATTGTAAAACTGATGATTTTTTATATGCTTATTTAGGAATTAAAATAAACAAAATATCTTTAAATGATCTATAAGCTCCATTTGAAGTTACAGAATTAACTTGAATTATGTGAATTGGAATTTTATTATTCATGATTTTTGTTATTTCTTGTCAACAGATTGCAACTTTATATTCACACATTATATAAGACATAGTAGCTACAAGTAGATGATATGTATCATAAGAAATCAACATCTTATTACAAGTACAAACAATTGAATCTAACAATTGATTTAATTAAAATTTTTCAGATTCAGAATTTCAAAAAATAACAGATAAATTATTTATATTTAATTCTATAGATTTTAATACAGTATCATAGAAGTTATGTAATTAAACTGCAGACTCAATCTCATCATAAATATCACAAGCCAAGGTTTGAAATATTTATTTTTTTGTAACTTAAATTGAAGTTTATGAAATAGTCTGCTCTCAAGATTTTTTTTCTCCAGTTTGAAACTTCTGATAGTTTTTTTCTAATTGAGTTTTAAAAAAAGTTTAATCTGAATTTTGATGTTCTTCTAAACATTTTAGATCAAGTTCAAAAAGTATAACCCCAGAAATTTGTGAATTATTATTTCCTTTTAATTTCTATTTTATAAAATATATTATTTATATAAGGATATAATATACATACTAAAACAATTTATTAATTAATTTATTCATAGGATTTTATTAATTACAATCTACAAAAATAAAGCTGAAACATTACTAGCTAATTTATTGCTTGAGACAGACTGTTTTTTTCTATCATAACTATCCCAAATAATTGTATATATAACCTCTTTATTCAAATTATATTGAGTTTTAGCAATTAGATATATATCATAAACCTTTATGCTAATCATATACCCATTAGAAATTGGATAACCACCTTGTTGAGTTTACTTAACTTGTTATAAATAAAAACTAAGATGTAAAATTTTGTAAAGAAATTGTTGTTTTTTATTTTTAGTATGTTGTGTTATATATATGTTTGGATAATTATTAGTAATTTTCAAAATATTGGTTTGTATATTATCCTGCTAGCAAACTTCTTGAAGAGAATAGTGAATGAAACTAGAACTTTGCATTTTTTTTAAAGGTAATTTAGACTTTTTTTTCATTGTTTATTTGAGAAAGGTTTTTTTTTAAAAAAAAAAAATTCAAGAATTGCTTATTCAAAGCACTTAGTTTAAATGAAACTAAACAAAACAAAAATTTTATATAAATGTAAAAGTTAGAATGTTATATATAAATAAAAATATATATAACTGTAAACAATTACTATTGAACATATGTGAATGTTGATTTAACATCTACCTATAATCACAGTAGCAAATAACTCATTGTCAACTCATTACCAACTCATCTCCAACCTGTTTTTTAAGTTTTTTAATAGGATAGAAGAAATAATTTTTTTTCTAGAAAAAATGATTATTTGGTATTTTAAAATCTTTCTTATAATGTTATAGATCTGATTGGCACATCTTATTATACAAATCTGAATGATCACTCTCAAATATCACTCAAATGGGTCTGATTAGTCTATATAAGATCATTGCTTCAATTTGGGCCCTCATGATTTCTCAAAAATCAAGCTTACAGGATACAGCTCTAGGTCAATTTTATACAGATGACTGCAGTCAGGTCACATTACCTTGTTACAATATATGATGAATATTCTATAGCAGAAAAAATAGATATGAGTACATCTTTACATATATACAAAGAGTTATATACATATTAGTAATGCTGAAACATTACTATGTTTTGGAATTTGTCACATAATAA